GAACGACTTTTTCTATCCCTGCAACAAAATATGAGCACATTTACGAAATTTCAGGACTCCACCTTTACCAATTTTTGTACCCTTTCAAGTCAAAAGTACTCAACGAGATAAAAATTTTCCTCAAATCAGGAACATGTCGCACTACATCAAGTGTTTTGACACTTTCATCAAGCAACATAATTCTGACCCTTCTAATTCTAATTATCCGACAAGGTGTATTATTTATCGGTCACCACAACACCTTTGGAAACTTTATAAGTTGTTAATGGATTCCGATTGGGACACATATGAAAAGTGCAAACCGTATCAAAAATCCAATCCTCACCAGATTTAGAATAACAGTTAGAAATAATCAAAAGCTCTTCATCATTGTGAAATGTTTCTGCAACATTAGTTTCACCTGGGGTATCTAATTGCTTTTCCTTCTGATTAGTTGCATGCAATTTTTCTTTATTCTGCAAGTTATATCAATCTTTAATCAAGTGCCCCTTCTTCTTACAATAATTACAAATTTTATTTGTGAAGTTAGATCTTAATTTGCTCCTACACAACCATCATCAACAACAAGGTTATCTCCAAGAGCCTCAATTCCAACGAGATGCTTCATCTTCTCCTTTGAATGTAGAGTATTATAAACTTCTATGGTGAGAGTATCACAAATATATAAAATCTTGTCTCTAACAATAAAATTAAACTCAAATCTTTTTCATCATATTTAACCTCCAAGTTTCCAAATTAGCGACGATTTCCTTAAAGACAACTAGATGATTTTCAAGAGATGTACCTTCTAGCTACGGACTACAATGAGCATAAAGACGTTGCTTCAAGTGCAATTTTCTAGTTAGACTTTTCGTCATGCATAATTGCTCCAATCTCAACTACAATGTAGTGATGAACTTTTCTTTCAAAATACTCTGAAGAATATTATTCAAAAAATGAAAATGAATTTGTGATAGCGCCTTCCGATCTCTACGTTGTTTTTTCTCCCGATTCCAAGTTGTGGACTTCTTGTTAAATCTCAACAATATATCATCTAAATCCATCTGAGCGAGTATTGTTCGCATCTTTATTTGTTACAAAGAAATTTTGTGTTGCGATCCAAAAGCGAAATATCATATTGCATAGTTTCCATCACAAAATCAAAATCTTCATATGAATAAAACATTAGCTCTGATACCAGTTTATTGTAATAAAATGCAAGAAAAGAAAATAAGGCACAATATGAATTAATTAATCACAAACGCACAAGAACAAGATAATGGCAGATGACAGGAGATGTCACTAAAATATGGAGANNAGGAGATGTCACTAAAATATGGAGAAAGAATACAATGATTTTGTATTTACAAAGTTGTTTAAGTTAATCTAAGATACAATAAAGAGCTATATATATATATATATATAGGATGTTTCAAGCCTTAAAAATTGAGTTATAGATGAAATAGAATGTTCAAAACATGTAAAAACGCAAAACAGATTAGGGTCCGGTTAACACCAACACTTGAGCGTCAGCTAGCCACCGCTTGAGTAGTAGGCGAGTAGTAACCTCGTGACAGTTGCAACACTGGCACATTGAGAATATAGTGTCGGAGTGCTGACTCTCGGGAAAAACTTGTTCCTTCACCTTAATTGCTGTTCAAAAATTTTCTTATCCAAATCTTGACATCTTTAAGTCCAACACAAATTCCAAACTCTCAGTTAGACTTCCAAATAAAATTTCAACTAGAATTTGCCAAATAAACTTTGAATAGAATTCTCAAATAACCTTCCAAATAGAATTCTTTTTAAGCCAACTTTAATTGAAATTCTCAATTACCCTTCAAATAGAATTCAGGTCGCACCCTAATTTTGACAACATCAATAGTGCTATTGCTTTATTTATTTTTTATCTTATAAAATCAAAAATGCATCTTGCAAATGGATTAAACTAACTTGCTCCAAATTTTCAATTATTTACCAAGATCCTTTCGTCAATATCTACAAGTCTCAAATCATGAAACTTGCAATTCACACAAGGAAAAAGATACCTGCTGGGGCCTGGCCATGTAGCGGCCCTCTTCCCACAAACTGAAACATGAGATGTGTTGTATAGACAATGCTAAAAACAATTAAGAATAAGAAAATCACGTCCCCAGCTTTGTCCATTTTTTGATCCTGTCCACGGATTAAACATATTAGAAGTATACAAATCCTTTTACCAAATTATCGGTACCTTACCTTGAATGCACACAATTCAAACTAGGAAGAAACCTTAATACCTGCTAAAGAACTACTTGCCACAATCCCAGCCATTATGTTGGTCGACAGAAACCCGCAATCTAATTTCATGATCGTAGAAATTATAGAATGCAATAGTAAACATTATAAAAAATTTGATGTGTTCAGAGGAGAGGAATTCTATTAATTTTTCTAATGATTTAGTTCCTAACAGAAAAGATGGATTTGGATCTTATACTAGGTGCAAATGGTTGCATATTTCGAGAAATTTGTTTCCATATTCTAATTGAGACATTTCTAAACTAGTAAAAGTGTGAAACATCGACATCTCCGTTTGTGCCTGTCTGCAAAACTAAAAATCCACTTGTGGCCTACCCAAAACCAAAATACTCTAAGCAGTAAGTCTCGTACTGAGAAAATTTTTAAGGATCCCATCTTCATAGAAAGGTCAAGAAGAATTGATACCAACGCTTAATTATCATCAACTTAACTAATG